TTTGTGCGAAAGAATTGACACAACTATAACGAACAAAGCGAAAATGGTGGACTAAGCTCAAGTAGGTGAAACTTCACCTACAGTTGGCACGCGAGTGCTAACTAACCACTTCTACTGTATTTATGGTTCAGTGATCAGAACTTACCCGATTTCATGACATTTTTGTTTATCGTAATAAATTTGTTGTTACAAGAAAAGAAAGTAAACCCTATACCGCTGCAATACGGCCTACTTTTTTTGGAGAACGTTAATAGGCGTTAATCGTTCGTCTTTTCGCTATTACCGCCAGATGTCAGCACATTAGAAGAAATTGCAATTAGTAGGTAAATCAAAACGACTTTCAATGATAGGTATTGTACTTTTAACCATAAGCCAACTGGGTAAAGTTTAAATTATGTTAACAGTCCTGAATTTGTCACATCTTTGTAAATTAGAAACTATACCATTCATTATCAAGATTTCCATAGTGTTTAACATTACATAAGTGTGAGTTTTGGCGACACTGGTTCTGATAGTAATCGAAGCTGAAGGCCCTTCCATTGCTTTTTTTCCGTGGATTTATTGGAGTTTATGCTATTTATATTGTGCCAATCCACCAGAGGGCGCTGCTTTGAAGCAGGCGCCAGCGGTCGTTGTGTAATTTGAATCTTTAAATATTTTTTTTTCATTGTGATAATAAGTAAAAAAAATATGTAAGTACCTGAAATTATATTTATTATTGTGTCAAAAAATGTACGTTATAATTGCCAAAGACGATTTTTTTCATGTTATATTACCAGAGTAGAAAACTGAACTTCTAAATGAGACCAAACAATTGGTGCGATTGACAGAGAGATGTCTCTGAATTCTGATTCAATTTGTCAGTATTAATCCGTTAAAAAATGGCGAATTCCCTATGCTTTAGTTATTAGTTAGTATTATGGGTACAACAAACAGTAATAGTAGACGTTCTTGTTAAAGAGTACTGCCACCTTATCTGTCTTTGCCGCCAAGATGTAATGTGAGCATTACTGCGTTCCGGTTTGGAAGGGTAAGGGTGCTGGTGAAATTACAGGCACCTGGGACTTGTCACCTTATATCTCAGGGCGACGAGGGTAGCAAATTAAAGACGATTTGGTATTTAAAAAATAACAACCCAAGGAATTTCCAACGTACGTAATGTTCAAACAACCTTTGAACATTCCACTCAGTGGGCGAACGACCCAAAAATAGACTGCAAGAAAGTGCTTCAGCAGCATTCTACTCAGCAAGACGAACGACCGAAAACCAGGCTACAAGAAAGTGCTAAAGAGGCACTTTACACGACGACACATTTAGATTTTATATATTACTAATGTGCGTAAACGTGAAATTGTACATACAGCAATTAATTTACTATTAAAATCAGTGCTTCAATAGCAGTCCAGTTCAATTTATCTTCTGACTGTAGTAACATTACTGCGGCCGAGACCCTTTCAGCAGTCAGCCTATCTGGTCAGTCTTGTGAGTCTGTGAGACTGGCAGTGAGAAAAACCACCCCAGTACAACCTTATATTTATTTCCTTCTCCCAATCCGTCTCTTGCCTTAGGTCTCACGGCGCAGATATTCTGTACTTATTTATATATTTATTTAGCACATATAAATGGTTAGGCCTAGCCCTAAATGTTACTTATATGGTACTTAAGGTGATAGGCATACATCTAAGGACGCTAGAGTTCATCTTGCCCTCCCTTATTAAGTTATCCCTGTACGGTTTGTTGACGACAGACACTACGGAGTGGATGCCACCATGATGAGGTCTTGGCCTGTAGCGGCGTTAAATAGCGAAGAGTTGAAAAAGGGTAGGGAGGCCTTTGCCCTGCAGTGAGACAGTAATGGCAGAAAAATGAATTCTTTTATTCAGTATGAGTTATTACGGGCGCAACAACCCGTACTACAAATATAAAAACTTTATATTATAAAAAAATGAAAAAGGCGGATGTCGCCGAAATTACGAAGGCCAAAGACAATATACGGATAAGTTCTATGATATTATGGAATGACTGTGGAAACATTTAACTATATTCTTGCATATATCAAGTCAGAATTGGAAACACATTGTAATTATGAACGAATAGTATGTCTATTCAGCTTTTTATAGTGATTAATAATCCTTCTATTTTTATGGTCCATATGTTTGCTGGTCGATACTGGTCTTTCCGAAACTGCTGAAATTATTTCCTCCGACGACATCTCTAAAGAACAATGGCGAAATCAGTGTTAAAATATTTCTTTAGCGTCTTTAAATGTCATAATTAAAAGTTTGAATAAAATAAATTCATTCAAATTATAGTAAAGACCTTTACTATTACATTTATGTAAGCCTGGATATAAAATCATACATAAAAGAAACTCAAACGACTAATTAGTATGTAGCCGGACTAATATCTACAACTGCCACTTTCTTAGTTTCTTAACGTTGAACGATAACTAGCCGCCAGAAAAAAATCAGTACCTAGGTATAGATAGGCCCACAATCAGTGAGCTTATATGTAATATCAAATATACTGATACGGCTGATTTGCAATTACTATCACACAAAATAAAGCAGATAATCCCTTCTCCAAACATGCCATACTTGAAATTGGTAAAACTGACAAAACGATCCCGATATCAGGAATAGATGGCACGATTCACAAAAAAAGTGTGTCCCAGTTACCAGTGCGTATATATATAAATATAAATTATATATATTAATATTAAATTATATATATATATATATATATATATATATATATATATCAATTAAATTTCCGTATCAAGATCTTTGGAGCACTACCATTGCGGTCATCACTGAGACATAATAGAATCATTAATTTTAATTTTAATAAATGTTACTATTTGAAATATTTTAAACAATAATAAATATTAAATAAAATGGGATAACTATGAGATATAAATAGACACAAAATAATTCTTTGCAAAATATTCCTCTACACTGTAGAATTCATTATGTAATAAAAGAAGTTTTAGTCAGGTATAACACGTTTCATCCTTTGTAACACTTGTCAGTTTTTTGAGTAGATTTCTTAGAATCGGGGACCGCCGATTTCTCGTTGCGAAAGCAGTACGGTGGACAATGGATTTTACTTTTTCCTTAATTCCATATAGTTAACAAGCGTCACGTGCCTGTAATTTCACCAACACCCTTACCCTTCAAAACCGGAATACAGTAATGCTCACATTGCTGCGTGATGACATAAATAAATATACGTATGTATGAAATAATTATGACTGCTTTTTGAAATGAAATTCTTCTATTTTTTAAAGTAGGGCGTTATTCATTTTGGTTCATTTGGCATTCGTTTTGAACTCCAACTTGGATGATACTGTGAAAATTCGTGTAATTTTCGAATACAAGTTTGATGTAACTCAAATGAAGCACAAACAATACGAAATCTTAACAATACGTATGAAACGGAAACAAGTAACGAAGGCTGTGCATCTTTGGTTTGCCTGATACTGGAAAATGAGCCTAGTGGATTATGAAAGCTTAAGGTGAATGATAAGTTGCGAGCTTTTGTGGACGACAATACGTCGCAAACTACGGAGGAATTAACAGCATAATTTATTGTAAGTATACCCACAATACTGAAATGCAGATGGCTGTTCTTCGACACCCTCACCCTGTAGTCACCTTGGTCCCTAATGACTACGTAGCATGTTTACCGTAATAAATATACTTGACTAATTATATGCAAGGGAAGTCATTTATATTCCATAAAACACTCGAAAATTAATTCAAAACTTTGTGGGTGGATAATAATAAATGAGCTTTCAGCGAGGTGACAAAAATGTATTTAATGGGTGCGCATTTTGACTATATTTTATTTTCTTAACTATATTTTTTGCTTCTATTCTCCGTTATAGTCTTATACATACACACACTTCACGCCCTTTTGCCATCGGGATAGTCAGGGACCACAGCCTTCCACTTGCTGCTAACCTGACACACGCCTTTAACCCCATGAACATTTGCATCAATGATTTGATGCAAGCTTTAAATTATTTTACGAAATAATTTTTTAATAAATAAACGTTTTCTGTGATAAATACCGGAAGACTATAATAAAGGCGGCTTCTCACGGCCTGTGATATCACGGGCCGCGCCGATTTGTACGAGCTAACTCGCGCCACGGGCCAATACAATGTGAGCTCGCGACGTCACGGGCGGCATTCTTTCCACCGTGCATTGACGCGAACTCGCGCGGCGCGGTCCGTGGAACCTCGGGCCGTGGGAAATCAGGATAAAATGATAAAATACGTGTGAATATCAAATGCGTTAGGTATTTACAGAAGCAAAAGGCGTAAGAATACGGTTCCCAACATAAACGCAAGCGACGTGCGTACTGCGTCCGCGAGTGATTTAGACTGGTTTGGCAGGCAGCAACATGGTTCGATGCGTCGACGTAGGTGAGTGACGTAGCCCATTGTTCTTGCATCGCAGTGCGCGACTCCAGTGTCTTCATCCGATACGTCGTGCAAGTAAGTGTATCCGTGTTTTTATTTATTTGTTTAGTATAGTTGAGTTCTGTAGTTAGTGTTTATTTATTGTAGTATGTATTATATATGTGTGTATCATATATGTATCTATTATATGTTATAACATTCTCGTTTACTAGTAATACATTTATATTTTGTAATATGTGCTATATATTTATAATTTTACATAAACACTATATATATAGTGTTTATATAAGTACATGTAAGTTACGTAGTGGGATCGCCACATATGTGTCATACATAATCCCAAAATACATGCAGCAATAAAAAATAATGCAAATGCTCAGTTATACATCGCAAAGGCCGGGTGTGAAACTTTGTCAAGCTAAAAATGGAAGAAGCATAGAAGCATTCCAAAATATTCCCAAAGATCATTTTAATACAGCGGAGCACTCCGTACATAATATGTTACACTTGTATATGTATAGAACCTTCTTTGATTTGAACTTAAATTAGAAATAAACATCAAAATACTTACTTGCAATAGTTCTAACTGTAGATACATAAGTAGATACTAAGATTAGTAGAGGCAGTACGAACATGAAGACCAAGGATAATGTAGTGTAAGCTTGCTCCTGCCATCGTTCTGTGTAGAATCCATGAGTTACACATTGCTCGAATTCCTCTACAAACGGGCCTCGCACCACGCTGAACACTATTGCCTGAAACAAAAGGTATTAATTTTATTTAAAATTACAATGAAAAGCAACTTTGAAAATCAGCACCGGACAGCATTAACGTTGGCAAATTTATATTGAAGTGACAGAGTAAATTTGACATTCAAAATTAAAGTGCCTACAGATTTGCTCGATTTTTGACAATTGTTACTATTACCACTATAATGTTTGTGATCGAACAAATTTGTATTTGCATCTACGCCTAATGTATTCTACATGAGTCGATCATCAAAATATCGAGTAAATCTGTTGTAGGCGCCTTTAGACATTTTAAGACAATATCCAAGTGTAGGAGTAAGGGAAGTCACCACACCTATCTATACGGAATCGGCGTAAATGTTTTACCTTGTCCCATTAAGATGACGGGTTAGGTCGTCGACTTCGTCTCGGATCGGTGTCCGTCTGTCCTGCTATCGTGAGATGCGACCTTTCGCTGGCTGCGTATTAACGCGATCGAAAATTCAAATTCAGAAAGCAGATTCATTGCCAATCTGTGTCGTACCGCGTTGTATAAGCCAATGCGAAATGCACAACGTCTTTTTCGCTCTTATTAAATTGATATAAAGCTTTTTCCGATCGGCTAAATGCAATTCCGTGCCGATAAGCGTGGTGACCCAACTAAATCATAACATAATAGCATAGAGACAACAATAGACGAAATGCCATAACATTTTTTGTAAGCCAATATCATCATGGCTGTTTCTCAATGGAGTACGAAGACTATTATTACAACTTGTTAGGATTCCGAATTACTCCTTCTTGCGTTTTCAAGTTCTTTACTCGCAAGGTAATTATAGGATTATTATATGTTTCGCTGTCTTTCACCACACGTGTTCGTAGACAAAATCAGCATTTCAAAATTTTGTACTTATTATGTTCATAAGATTTTTTGCATATTTTATACCTGTTTGACAAAAATACAAACAATAGCTGAATATTTTTGGCGATATGATAAGTCATGCCATGGTTATAGCGGTTCATATTTATGCTATTCAAAGTAAAGAACAGTAATAAAAATATGTTACCTTACATTAAAATGTTTTCGAATTTCGGTACATACAAAAAAATCGCAACTGATCAGTTTCAAGAAAAAAAAAGGTACTTCTAATATAAAAAGATCAAACAATATAAAACATATTTATGAAAATATTAAAGAAATGGGTTAAAACTTTTTAAGTTCCAAGTGGACGCATTTCTAAAACGTTTAAACATAAGGTTCAAGTTGTTTCTTTTCTGTTATATGAATGTAGCAACATTTGTAGCTGCTTAACATCTGATTTATGGAATTAAGAGAAATTTATCTTCTATAATACGGTTGGCTATAATCGAGGAGTATTATTATTGTCTATTTTAAAACCGGGGAACAATATGTGTCGTATCGAGCTGAACCGCTCTCTGCATTTGTGCTGGAAACGATACGCCATAGAAATCCAACCGCCGAAAGCTGCTAACGAAGCTGACTGACATTAACCCGTTTGCGTACAAAAAAATTGGGATTATTTCAGTGGGGCCCGCATTCCATATATCGGTAATCTCGTGTGAAAGATAGAGATACTACGGACGTTACTCGGTTTCGGTTTTCACAAGACCCTCGTCCACCCTCGTTCTCGTCGACTGCGATCGATCCAATATCACAATATCAGGTTTATTCGCAAGAATAGTCCTGTCCGTGATAATGGATCGGTCTCATTAGATTTTTGTGCGGTCGTTTTCGACTTTTGCTTCCGGTAAATAATTATAATAAGCCATCCTCTGTTGCACGAGTCCGCACTTTAGAGCGACCTTATTATTATTGCGATATAATGCTCAATGTAAATGCACTGTTCTTTCTCATTTATATCTTTAGTTCTGCAGCCATGCAGCCAGTGCACGACTATTAGGAAAACTGCTTAAAATGCTTGCATGGGATTCATTTTTTTATAATATCTGTTGCAGTTAGCGTTAGTGTCAGTCTGGCTAGTCCCTGTGCAGCCCTGTCTGCAATGATAATATATACGTATATAATATACGTAACGTTAAGTCATAACAAGTTATCAATAATGAGGTCAAACAGTATGATTTTTATAATACTTATAGGAGAAGCCGGAATACAGTAACCCGGTCTTAAGCGGAGATTTATAAAACGAAAAAAAACTTGGTCTTCAACTGAGCGAAAATGGCGAGCTAATGCAAGTGTATAGTATTTACAAAACGAAGTTTGCCTAAGTTTAAGCAAGCAATTACGAAGTAAACTCAAAATTTAACTTAATTTCTTGCTTAAAATTAGGCATAAAATACGAAAGACTCGCTCGTTCTTTTAGTTTACTCGCTCGTCATTTTAGTTTACTCGAAGTCAAAGTCGTTTTATAGAATGTCAGCCTTAATACGGGTTCCGCTCTGTCACAATAGCCTTAAATTGTAAAAGCATTTACGCACTGCGAGCCGTAGCAGTTCCGAATCCGACATATGACGGAATCCCAAGTAGTCATAGTGCTATGAATATGAGAGATTGCGCACTAAATGCAAATTCCGTTTTCCAAAACCGAGAATAAAGGTAGTCTCGATTTTGGAAACCGGAATTTGCATTTTGCATTGAAGGCAATTCGGAACAATATTTTCGCGGACCCTAATCCATACGTGGCGGCGTATCGCGGCGGTGACGTCTACGCGGACGAACAAAGGGAAACAGCAAGTATCGATACATACATACAACTATAAATAAATGTCTTGCTAACTTGTTTAAGTTCATCAAAATTATTGTAAATTTTTTCTCTGAAAAGTCAGTTCAACAGGAGAAGGTGTATCCTAATTTTTTTATTTCTTCTGCGTCTTCATATGTATCAACAATGCCAAAAGTTGACGAAGATTGAAAGGACAAATAGTTAGTAGTGATCTCTGTGTACAAGCGATATTCGTATTTTCTTGGATTCGTATCGGACTTAGTGCATAAGCGACATCCGATGTCGGTTCGAGTTTTCTAGATGTCGGTTCTCGGATTCGGAACGGGTACGTAGTGTAATGTGTTAAGATTAATATCATTGTAATTAACTATAATAAAATAAAGGATTATGATTATTATACTCTTTTCTACAGATACTTTTTAATTGAATAAGTATTTTTTAACGAAAATTAATTAATTTATTTTATGAAAAAAATACAAGCACGACAAGTTATAATCGCACCCGATATTAAACTACGAAATGTAGTCAAGTACTATTCAAGCCCGAAAATGTATTTTATTGCATGGTATTTATTATTTAATTGTTAGTTATGTACTTTTTACCTTTTTATTTCATAATTGAGAATAAAACAGCCTTTAGGGACTACAAAGGTTTTTACTTTAAGTTTAATGCACAACCGTGAGCATCATTAAAATTTATTGAAGATATCAACTCCGTTTAAAATGTTTTTTTTTTTTCATAAATATGCATATTACGAGAATCTAAAGATAAAAGAAAGGCAAGTGCTTGCCAACAATGAAGAACTTGTTCAATTATCTTTGTATTTCAAGTTCGCTTGTCCTTTGTTTATACAAGCCGCAGCACAGCCATAAACACGAGTACTCCCGTCTACACGATCGTGCCCCACCGCAAGTAAGCTTGCGCTAGCCGAGCACGTGTTTGTTTATGTAAGCATGTGTGCTGTGCATTTGCTCGCACAATTTACGCGGGCCTATGACCTTTTCTCCCTTGTTTTGGCTAGTTTTTTTATGATAGCAAGTGACGGGACGAACAAGTCGTGAGCCTGGTGGTAAGAGACAGGCCCTGAGACGTAAGTTGACCCATATGCCTATAATTTCACCAGCACTCTTAGCCTTCAAAACTGGAACGTAGTAATGCTCACATTACCGGTTGGCGGCAGAACTAGTTAAGGTGGTAGTTCTTCTCTGGGAAACTCTTTCACAAGGAGCTTTACTGCTTCTAAAAGTTTGAACAACTTATTGCAAAATGTTTTAGGCGCCTATTATCAGTGCAATACATTGACTTCTGATATAGACCAATCTGTTGACATTTTCTAAATTATTATTATGAAAATTTATTGCTTACTTCAAAAAAGAAAATTGTTTTATGTACTCATTCTTCATGTTTTTACGATATTCATAAATTTACCAAAGCCATTGCATTCCATTTATTACCTTTGGGACATAATATCGTAAATGAGAGATAATGGCTTTTAATCTAAGTTGTTTGACTGTAGACGTATATCCACTTGCGAGGTTTTTTGTGATACTAAGCACATAACAATAAATACAGAAGAAGTGCTTAATTTGCATGCCACGCCTGCCAGTTCGCGGAATTCCACAAACTTGAGACTCGGTCCGCCATTTTCGCTTTGTGCGTTATGGTCGTGTCAATTATCTTGCGTAAAACCTCGAAAATTGTAGAAAAATACCTTTTTTGTAATACAAAAATGATAATTGCACTTGTAATATTATCTACGGTGGTGTTTTGTATCATCGTTAAGTCTTCTTTTATTAATTTTAACAAATTTTCAATGTTCTGTTTATCGTAATCATTTTTATGTTATAAGAAACGAAAGTAAACCACTTCAATAAGGTCGCTTCTTTTTTGGAGAAGTAGGTACTAAGTAAATATCTCAAATGTGTCGTCGTTCAGCTATTAACCGCAAGATGGCAGTATATACATTAAAATTTCAATATAAAACGAAACGTCATTGCTCCCCACTAGGGAAATCCCGTGTCGCGGGTGCCACGGACTAATACATAGACAACCACAAATTACTCGCAAACTCACGAGAGTAATGATGGAGGCCATACAAATATTTCTCCTGCCTCGGGATTCGAACACGGGACTTTTACGTGACAGACAAGCATCGTAACCGTTCGGCCCCGGAGGTGGTTTATAATAGGCATTGACATACATATAGCTTACTAGGTATTGATGATATTGAACGATATGCCACAGACTAACAATTAAATAATATTGATATCCAGAATTTGTCATTTTTTTAAATTTAAAAATCTACCACCAATCATTATCAAGATT